GTATCTGACCTCTAAGGGAATTCCCTATGAGGAGATAATTGAGCACCTGATCCCTCACTCAAAGGGATCACTGATGCGGCTCCTACTCAACTCCGACGATCCAGGGTGGAAGAGAGTCGCCGTGTGGGTACACAACGACAATGGTGACACCGTTCATCATCATCTTCGCCCGGCCCCGGACGCATTAAGCTGTCGCTACTGACGAGAACCGCCCACCTACCCCCCCTACCAACTCCACCCCGGGTGCTTTCTGCCATACGTTAGAAGCCGCCCTCGCTTCCGCAAATGCCAACTTTCATGTTTCTCGAACAAGGCACGCGGCGAGCCCAAACCAGAACCTATTATTTCTTGTGGGTGAAGAAGTTTACTTTGGGGTATGGGTAGAGAGGAGGTGTTAGGAAACTGCCGGGTCCTATCCAGACAGAAATTTTAAGGGGGTTGTTCATCTGGAAGGCAAGGCATCATTCAGACGGGAGCAGGGACGTGACTTCAGAGCATGACAGTTGGAATCAACGAGTTTTCAAGTCCGGGGGAGGAGTTGTTTGAATATGTCGTCGTCGAGGACGAAGCAAGAAAGAACCTTCCTTGGCTCATTATGCACCTTCATTAGTCTATACAGAGAAAGTACAACAAGAAGTAGAAGACGTAAAAGAAGAAAGAAGTAGTAGTAGAAGAAAAGGAAGAAGAGAAGAAGAGAAGAAGAAAAATGAACGCCCAAACCAATATCTAGCTTCGCTCCCGCGCGAACGTGATTCATGAATCCAAAAACAAAACGGTCCTGCCCCCTTTCCTGGGATCGACCTCCTTTCCTGGGATCGGCCTGCACTAGGCCCTCCCAACTTACGACGCCTTCCCGGCTTCCCTAACCCCCTTCATCCACCGATCCTCGGCCCCGACCTCGCCCACGGCCCTCTTCTTCCTCTTGCACCCCTCCGCGCCGGCGAGCACGGCGCCCACCTGCCCCGCGCCCTTGCACGCCAGTATCGCCCCCTCCTCCTCCACGAGGAGCGCCACCGCGGCCCTCACCAGCACCGTGTCCCCCTCGAACACGTACACGTCCCACAGCCTCGCCGCCTCGTCCACGGCCAGCGAGCCGGTGAAGAGGCCAGCGAAGACCTCGGAGAGGTACTCGTCCGGGTCGGCGGCGAGCTCGGCGCCCGCGAGGTGGTCGTGCAGGGGGGCGGACTTCTCCTTCAGTGTCTGGAGGACGAGGTTGTAGGCGGAGGTCTTGGCGCCAGGGTCGCCGGCGTGGAAGCTGAGGGGGATGGGTCGGTTGAGGACGTTGGAGAGGGCGATGAAGGAGTCGGTTGCGTTGGGAAGGTTTAGAAGGAGGAGCGCGGCGATGGTCTGGATGGGGTAACGTTAGTGGCAGGGTTCATTTCCAGACTTGGGGGCAATTGGAAAGGGGGAAAAAGGACTAAGTTAAAAAAATCAAAGAGGGGAGGGGTGAACTCACGTTGCAGCCGGGGACGTAGCCAATATCCCCCCGGTACATCGCATACGCGGATAGCACGTCCACGAGACTCTCGTGTAGCGGACCGCCCTCTTGGAAGATGCGCAGGTCGGGCCACGTCCTCTCGCTGACATCCTTCTTTATCGCCTCGAACCACCCTGCCCTCCTTGCGTCCTCGGCATCCCCCTTCCCATCCTTGATCCTCTCCCGCGCCTCGCGGGACCTCTTTAACGCGGCGGTATACGACAGCTCCGAGAGCCCCAGCTCGTTCCCGATGGCCTTTGACCAGACCATTCCCCTGCTCCTCGGCGCGATGCCCTTCCACCAGAGCTCCCGTGTCCGCGGCTCCCGGATGGCGTCCTGCCATCGCGGGAGGATATCCTCCTCCCATATCCGCATTAGGCTGTCCGCCTTGTCGTCCCTCCTCGAGGTGACCGCATTCTTCGCCATCTCCTTCTTCCTCTCGGCGTCGACGCTGAGCGCCATCATCTTCTGGTACTGCTTCAGGTGCCTGCGCTCCTCCGCCGGATCCTTCGGCGGCAGCCACGAGGGCCTCGTGCGGCTCAGCACCGCCTCCTTCTCCTTTGATATCGGGAGCGGGTCGATCATGACGTTCGTGCGCCGCAGGGGCGGAAGCTCGGGGAGCTGAGAGTGCTTCCTCAGCTGGGGCTCCCAGTGGACAGGGTCGAAGGCCTGGCTCGAGGCGTCCCACGTGGCGGGCCGCCTGTCGTGGCCCGCCCTCAGCCTCTCTTCCAGGCCGTCGTCGTGCTCCTCGAGCTTCTCCGTGAGTGCCTTCATCTCGGGGCTCAGGCCCGCCATCGCTATGTTCCAGCTCTTTGCCCTCCCCTTTGCCTGTAGCGGGGTCGGGAACTCGCTGCCCGGACCGGGGCTGTCGGAGATGGCGGTGTCGGATTTCCACGCGGGAGAGCGGAGGTTGCCCTGGGCGGCGGCGACGGGGGGCGTGCCGTTTCCTACGCTCCGGCCCCCCTTGACGACATTCTGGGGGAGCAGGAGGGGCGACTGCGGTTGGCTCGTGGGCCGGTCTCTCGTTGGTCGGGGCGAGATGGGGACGTTGTCGAGGATGAGGCCGTCGGGTATGTCGTCGTCATCGTCGTCGTCGTCGTTGTCGTACTGGCTCTCCAGCTCCAGAACGGTTTTCCTGTCTCTCGTCGACTGCCAACTCTTCCTCCTCGGCCTCAATATCTGGTTCGGATCCTTAGGGCCAAGTAAGCTGGGGCTCGTGCTCCTCAGAGACCCCGGGTACAAGGACGACGTCGACGTCCGCATCGGCGGCCGCCGGTAGGCCCCGGGGCTCCTGGGCGGCTCGCTCAAGCCGGTAGGGCTAACCCCCCGGCCATTGGGTGCTCCGCCCCTCGGGCTCGGCGGCTCCCTCTGCGGCAGGAACTTCTGTGGCACGTCCGCCCTCGAGCGCGTCAGGGTGCGGGACGACGAGACGCTCCGCACGGAAGCTTGGCCCGAGTCGGAAGACGGGTACAGCGGGGCGTGGGGCTTCGGGATGGCGAGCCGCAGGTTCGCATCGCGGACGTTCGGGCGGCGGGCGGCGGAGGTGGTGGCGGCGGAAGTAGTCGTTACATCGTCCAGGGAGATCTCTTCGAAGTTGCTCACGTCGGAGAGCACGCTGCCGCTGTCATCGAGATGGGACTGGTGTGATGAGGATATCGAGGTTGTCATTCCGACGGGAAAACCCAGTGAGAAAACAGCGTAACTGTGAGAGGGTTTCGGAAGTTTGTTTTTTGGGAGAGAGGCGGGCGGGCGGGCGGGATGGCGACGACCGCGGACGGTGATAAGGCAAAATAGCTACAGGCGAGACAGGAGGCCCAGATTCGCTTATCGGGATTTAGCGATATGCTTCCCCCGAGTTGCAGTATCTTCCTTCCGGTAGATGAATATCACAGGCACGTTGAAATGCCCCTCATTTAATAATAGGAAAGGGGAGCAGCTGAAACAGACGCAGGCTAATAAGGCCTGGTCCCACGAACCCACATAAAAGTCAGCTGTTATTCGCTGGCACGCTATCCGGTTCATTAATGTCATAAAAAAGCCACTCCGCGGGAGCTTAAATGATGTCATTCAGGGGTGGTTCCGGTTCTGGTTCTGGTTCCTGCATAGCCATCACGATGGCATGGCACCATTTTCCATCTCCAGCTACAAAGTTCTGGAGTGTTTGCGGGGAGGTCGGGATTCGCTCAGATGAACCGGCATCGCAACAGTAGCGCGATAATTTTTTTTTAAAGTGAGCATCCAAGATGGGGAGGGATGAGGCCTCCACTTCATGTTTCCACCTTTCCTGTAGGGCGGATCTTGGATTGCAAGCTTGGCCAACCGGCATTGCCGACTAATTGCGCTAGTACTTTTACAGTGGGGTGGCAGGACGTTAGGGCCTCTCTGAATATGCTTGATAATATTGATAATACTTGCTATGTACCTCGCATTTCGGCTCGTCGTTGACTAGTGAGGGGCTGCATGTGGGCCCCTGTCAGGTACCGCGGAGGTTAATTTCGAATCTTTCGGAGGCGGCCCGGGCACATCCGGGAAGATCCTGCCAGCAGCTGGGCTCGTCCATTTGGCGGGGTGCCCGGTTCCTTGTCTTTGAACGATCCCTGTGAGGTGGTGTTGCTCTCCCGCATCTATGAGTGCGAGCATACGAGTAAAAATAGTCTCGAACCCGCTCTATTCTGGGAAAACAGGGAATGTGTCTGGCCAAATACGAGTACAAGTACTTGTACGGGTAATACTAGTCTCGAACCTGATCTATTCTGGGAAGCAGGGAACGGGTCTGCCCGAAATATGTGAGGTCTCTCTACCTGGTGTAACGATCCCGCAGGACTAGCAAACCGCCCATCTTTTCCAATAGGCAAATGTCCGGTCGATATCCATGTCCATACTGGTAAGGAGCACGCCGCATGCCCACGGTCCATCCAAGATTGCCATGCATATGCAAAGCACTCGCTCCATTTTGTGTATCTTGCTCCCTCACTCGTCCACCTCCGCGAAAGGGAAGATCTACATGCCAGAATGTGCAGCCGCTGCTCGCCGCTTACACGCCAGTAAGAATGGGGGTATAAGCTGATGGCCCCTGTCCTTCCAGACCTGGCTTATCTATCCACTTGCCCATCCTCGCAAAGAAGAGGGGAGCGAAATGAAGAGTGACAGGGTGCCAAAGGCGGGCTACCCCACTTACAACTTCCGAGTACACAGAAAAAAAGAAGTAAATGTGCTTGCATGATCGAAGCGGAACGCAGGTGCGGGCGCTTGTCCACATCTATCTCGTCGCCGACGCATCATAGCCCACCCATGCCATAATCTTTGTGGATAATCCCTAAGACAGCAACGTGTCAATTTGGGATTAGACTTTTGAGATTAGTGAAGAACGTCTGTTTGTCTCGACTTATCTTTAAAATGAGAGAATAATTTAACCCCTTGGTATGCAAGACAGGGACGGACCCAACCTCCATCAGTGACTCTGGTGGTAAGGATAGGAAACCGTTCATATTATTCTGTCTGGCTTCCAAACAGTAAGACAAAAGGGCACGTGGCGTAGTGGTATCGCGTTTGCTTCGCACTATCTTCGGAGTTCTCTGAAGGCGACGATTGTAAAAGGTCTCCGGTTCAATCCCGGACGTGTCCAACAATGTTTTTTTTTTCTTTTGCCGTTCTTTTCCCTTTTGCTTTTTGGGCTTCAACATTACACCAACGGTCCAGGTCGGAATTGAAGGTCTCTTGCTTGCTTGTCTAATATCAGGAGACTCGAATGAGCTCTATATCTATTACTCGTAGTCCAAAGTTAGGGGTCGGTCACTATGAATGGGATGGATGACATGGCATGTCGATGACATAGTGTTCGTAGCTACCGCAATCTCTCGTGGATCTATTCATTTAGCGGGTCAAGCTCTCCAGGTCCCACAATTCTCCCACCTTACCAACTTCCCCTTACCATGCGCGCGGCGACCGGTGAGAGCGCCCGTTCTATCTTTTTCTCACGATGGAGCAGTTCTCGACCTCCAAGGTAACGGGTAAGACTTGCCGGCCCCATACGTCCCTATCGCTACCGTGAGCTCCTCCCCAGGCCAACCTCTCTGACCCATCCGCGAGCTAGTCGAGTGCTTCGATCCCCACGATGTCTACAAGCTCATCTGCCCCGGCCTCATCCCCCGACTACCCCTCCGCCACCTTCACTGGCACTCGCACGCCGGTCCCCTCCGCTCCATCGACACCCTCCACGTAGAGATCATCCAATCGGGCGAGCATGTCCCCGACCAAGACCTCACTCTCCGGCGCTCGGCCAGCGTAAGCACAAACCAGGACGTCGGCGCCGCGGCGTCCACCGACAGCATCGAGGCGCCCACCCAAGCGAACCCTTCGAAGGGGAGGCGGCACCAGATCCCCGGCCTGCGGCGCACACCCTACCTGAAGGCCCTTCTCGTCAGATGCGACGACAGCGAGTCCTACAAGGGGAGGGTACGTTCTGAGATTCGAGAGTGGATAAAGAAGGAGACGGCCGCGACCAGTTCGAAGACAGGGGCGCCCGAGGGCCATGACGCCTTCTCGTGGGTAATCATCCACGTTGTCCTCCCGAATACCGTAGCCGCGACCCAGCCCAGGACGGCCAAGAGCGGAGATGTCGCGGCCGCGGACCAGAAGGGCGCGTCTCGGTGGCGGGGGGGGTCCTCGACGCTGCTGGAAAAAATGAAGGCCGACTTCAACGTCTCGGGGAAGAACACCGTCGACAGGGTGGCGCAGGTCAGGGTGGGCATCAACGACGTCCCCTACGACATGCTCCCGCGAGTGGTCCCCGCCGTGCCCTCGGGCTACGTGGAGACGGAGCAGGACGTCGAGGCCGCGTGGCAGGACCTGATAACCAAGTTTAAGGATCTGATTTTGACATCGTTTGACAAAAGGGTCACGCGTTATGAGGAGGACATCAAGGAGAAGGATGCGCAGCGGATGCTGCCCGGGTGGAACTTCTGCACCTTTTTCATTCTGAAGGAGGGCCTGGCGAGAGGCTTCGAGAGCGTTGGTCTCGTTGAGGATGCGTTAGTCGGGTACGATGAGCTCAGCGCCGGGCTCGACGCCATAATTACAGAGCAGGCGACGGCGTCGGACGCCCCGGAGAGGCATGGGGGTGCGCTGTTGCCCTACACGGATGACCTGAAAGAAGCTGTCGACAAGGCTTTGAAGTCCCTAGACCTTTCGGCACGGGGCGAGGGCGAGGACGAAGACGACGGCGAAGACGCCGATTCTCCGTCCGAGCGTGGGCTCGATGCCGACGACATACCCATAATAGCATCCAAGAAGCCCTACCGAGACATGATCCTGGAGAACAACGTCTCCCTCTTCGACTTCAAATCCTACATATTTGCACGGCAGATATCTCTACTACTCCGACTCGGTAACGCCTGGTCAACTCGGGAGGAGCTCCTGGCGAAACTAAACGAGCAGCAGCAGCTAGTCCCCACCGGACTAGCCCCCCACACGCCTCAGTCGAGACAGACCGACGAGCCCGAGAACCTCTCGAGGCTGTCCGAGGTCTGCAAGCGCGCGCTCGAGTTCATCCCCACCATGTCGCGGACCATGCAGCACGACATACTCGCAGCCGTGGCCTCGGAGAAGGGAGGTGACAAGGATGCCACCACGAAGAAGCTACCGCCTTCCCTATCGGCCGTCATCGACAACATGGTCGCGTCGTTCGCATTCTCCCTCGCGCAACAGATCCTTGCTCAGACGTCCACCACGTCCCTCCCCATCCCGCCCTCCACCCTCTCCACCCCTGACGCTCACGAACCGAAACTATCCATCCCCGAGCCGAAAACGATGATGCACCCCGCGAGGTCCTCGTCACTGGGCATGCCGTCCGGCTCGCGGCCGCCGCCAAGCCCAAACGTCTTCCCCGGCCCGGGGAACAACGCGGGCCCGTCAGAAAAGGAGGCGGCAGCCCATTCGCAGTTTCTCAAGTCTGGACTAGAGGATCTGGCTGCTCGGCGCGCGGAGCTATATAGCGTGTGCCGCAACATCCTCGAGAAGCTGGGGAGGAGGAAGGGCTGGGGAGACGGGTGGGGCGAGGCGCCCGTCCTATCCGACTCCATTGATTACTCGGAGATGGAGGACGTGAGCCTGGACGACGACACCCCTTCGCTGCCGGCTAACACCGCCGCCGAGGACACCGCCGCTCTAGCAGCCCAGGTCGTCTCCAATCCCCTCCTATCCGCCGCTTTCAAGAGCGAGGATGACTTCTATCGTCTCTATGAGACCCTGACGGACAAGGCCCTGAGGCATTACACCGTCGCTAACAACACGCACTCCGTCCAGGCAAGCTTCGCCGACCTCGCGGTCCTGAAGCACAAGGTCGGCGACTTTGGCGCCTCCGCGTCGTACTTCGATCGCGCCATCCCCTTCTTCGGCGAGGGCGGGTGGAGCCTACTCGAGCTGTCCATGCTCATCATGTACACCAGGTGCCTCCGGGAGCTAGACAGGAAAGAAGCCTTCGTGCAGGTTGTCCTGAAGCTACTGACGAAGGCGGCAGCGGCGGAAGGGGAGTACGCCAGTCAGGCCTCGTTCTCAAAACTCAAGGAGAATAGGGGCGGATTGGCGGCGGTCAGGGGGCTTATAAAGGAGATGCTGGCCGCATCGAAGTCACTTAAGCAGGACGTGGTAGTTCCGCTGAGTAGCTTCTTCCTAGCCATCGACATATGCGGGCCGCCCGTGTATCCTGACGGGACCGACAAGGTTGAGATCGAGGTTGAGCTGCACAGCTTGCTGGAGGATGATCTCCCGGTGGAGCAGGCCAGGTTAAGGATGACGTGCGTAGATGGGAGTCCCACGAAGGAGATTTCTCTTGAGTGCGTGGGTGAGAAGACGATCAAGCCGGGCAAGAGCCGGATAACGTTCGTGGGCAAGGTAAGTCATCACGGACTACGGCGTGCCTTCCAACTTGGTTGTTTCTAAGCAGCACCGCTAATGCCGCTGCAGGTCGTCGCAACGGGCCGGTACAAGGTGGACCAGCTCTATGTGGAAAATGGACGCATCATTCTCAGCTACGAACGGGACGTCAACCAGATTACGCCCAGGGACGAAACGATATTCAAGAACCCTCCCGTCCTCGTGTTCCAGCAGGTCCGCTCCTTTGACCTCCAGCTCGCCGTAGCGAGGCACACCCGCCTAGACCAGAACAACGCCCTCGAGCTCGAGATATCCCCGGGCTGGAACTCGATCGAGTCCTGCACGCTGTCCGTTCGGCCGGCCACGGGTGGGCTCCGCACCATAACCGCGTCAGCCAAGATCCTTTCCTCCCCGGAGACCGAGTTCTCGAAGCCTCCCGAGGCGGGCATGATCTTCCTTGGCGCCGTACCCCCCGAGACGCCCCTAACTATCAGCTTCCCCTTCTCGGTGGAGCAGGACGTCTCCACGATAGCGGTCCGCCTCGAGGCGACCTACGTCACTGCCGACGGGACTTTCCACTACGCGAAGCTAGCATCAATACCCATCGCCCTGGCGCTCGGCGTCAACGTCCAGGACGTCTTTAAGCACCACGCGCTCTACTCCCGCTTTACGGTCAGCACAGCGAGCACGAGCCCCCTCCGGCTCTTCGAGAGCGAGATGACGGGTTCCGACGTCGCGGAACCCCACCTTGGCGTCCTGCCAGCGTCAACGATGCTCATTTTCCCGAAGCAGCCGGGGACGCTTCTCTACAAGACTACAAGGAAAGGTGGAGATATTGGGCCGGATACGAGCACGACAATGTTCCTGAAGCTGTACTACAGCGTTCTACAGGATGAGGCCGAGGCCGTGCTGAGAGAGGAGGTCCAGGCGGCTCTGGAGGAGAGTCCCCTGCGGCGCCTCGCGCGGCTCTTGGTGCCGATCGTATCGCGCCATGCGGCAAAGAGGATATCGGCGCTAGATCTTGAAAGGGCGGCGCTCACGGGGCAGCTGGAGACGGGCTTCTTCGCGGGGGTGAACTGGGCGACGGAGCTCCAGGGCCTCGACCACCCCGGCTCCAAGGCCCCCGTCGTGCCGGAGATCGCTTCGTTCTTCGAGGCCTGGCATAAGGAACACAAGGTCCTCCCACTCGAGGAGCCCGCGGAGCGCAAGTCGCTCCTGATCCCCGTCGATATCCCCAGCGTGCCGATCCTCGTCACGGCGGACATCAAGCTCGGAGAGGAGACGCAATTCCTCGTTCCCCCCACGCCGGCCGCGGTGCCGACCGTCCGCGTGAACCAGCTGCTCCCCGCCACGCTGCACCTCCGCTGGACGCGCAAGTGGGACACGTCGCGTCCGCCCGGCGCCGCGACCTCGAAGACGCACCCGCCGCGACAGCTGAGCTTCGAGGTGTCGACGCAGGGGGATGCCTGGCTCCTGTCGGGCCGGCGGAAGGGCCACATCACGATCCCGTCGTCGGCGGGGGTCGATAGCGCGGACGATATACTCGTGCCGCTGATCCTCGCGCCCCTGAGGGAGGGGTACCTGCCGTATCCCGGAGTGGACGTGCGGGAGGTGAGGGACGGGGATGAGAAGGGGGTGGCGCATCATTGCGAGGCGGACTGGAGGAATGTGGGGGAGGTGGTGAGGGTTGTGGAGGAGAGGACGAGGGTCACGGTTAGTCTCGATGCGAGCGGTCCTGGAGGGGGACCGTTG